GGCGCTGGGGGATTGAACCGCGGTCCCTGTGCTTTGCTGAGCTTGTTCTAAGTAGGTGCTTTAGACCACTGAGCCATCTCGCCAGCCCTAGAAGTTCTTTTAAAAAAAAAATCTTAAATCATTCATTTATTTATTTGCTACAGGGTCTTGCTACATAGCTCAGACTGGTAATGATCCTCCTGCCTCAGCCTCCCCAGCACTGGGATTAAAGGCATACGCAACATGTCCAGTTTCAGGACCAGCACAGCATGCCAGAGGTTCCAGCTCTGGTACAGCATGCAGTACAGGTGATCAAACTCAGGTCCTTGGGCTTGCCAGGCAGGCACTTAGACTGCCAAGCTATCTCCCCAGCCCCTGGAAGTCCTTTTTTCTGATTGTCTTTACAAGGTATGATTTTTTTAAAAATACAGCATTGCTGCCAACTGCCACCCTATGAAAAGGCAGGGTAAAAGCACTACAGTGGGTCCTCATCCTCCTTGTCCACCAGTCTGGCTCCACGTGGCTTCCGGCTCTTCCCACAATTGAAAGGACCACAAAAGGTCAACGTTTTGAAGGGATTCAGGAAGTGAAGCAACCACAGCAACACAGCTGAAGAGCCAGGGAGGGCTTCCAGAACAGCTTCAGGAAGTGGCAAGAATGACGGGGTAAGTGTTTGAAATGAGGAGGAGTGTTTTGAGCAACATTAATGGTAACATGCCTTTACTGTAATAAACTTTTTGTTTTGTTAATAAGCTTTTTTTTTTTTTTTGCAGAACCAGGGATTGAACTCAGGCCCTTGAGCTTGCCAGGCAAGCGCTTATTCTACTGAGCCATCTCCCCAGCTCCAATAAACTTTTAAAATTTAAATATTCACTGTGTTTACCACACCATGTCAAATTTATTTATTTAGTTAGTTTTTTTGAGACAGGGTCTCTCTAAGCAGCTCTGGATGGCCTTGAGCTCACTCTGTAGCCCAGACTGGCCTCAAACTCACAAGGATCCTCCTGCCTCAGCCTCCGAGTGCTGGGATTACAGGCATGTGCCACTACGCCTAGCTCAAATTTAAAAGTAAGGAAAGGAGACAGAAACAAACATGGCTACTACCAAAACTAACACAGGACACAGGAGCACTGTGTGCCAAAGGAAAAAGGTGAAATACAATGAATTACATGACTTTTATCATCTGGTAAAAGGCAACACAGTAATTCTTCAATGAGAGAGAGAGAGACACATATTCCAGGGCCAGCCGCGATGTTTCCCGATGGCGCCATCATGAATAACAGTGCCAGCGTCGTCTCCCTTGGGCCAGTATCTGATCCCACGCCTAGGCCCAGCGGGGCAGAAGCAGAGTGGTCCCCCCCAGCGCTTCCTGGTGATAGAACGCCGCCATATGCGCCATTCAGACTCAGCCAGGGAAGGGTGCGGGGTGGGGGCCCGAAGGGCAAAGGTGAAGCGCTAAAGAACCGAAAGCCCACACTGTGGCTAGAACGACACAAGTCAGGAACACACAAATGTGAGAAACAAATTAGGGCTGTTGAAGGCAAACCACGCACAATTTCGGGGCTGAGATTGAGAGACAACCCCGAGAACCAAGAAAGGGGTTGGTTAGGAACCTCAGCTCATCCGCCGCCCTGAAACTCCGTTTTAAAGTATATTCCCCTCACTTGGGAGGCCGAGGCCTGAGGACGGCAAGTTCGAATCCAGCCTGGGCAAAGCTGCGAGACCCTGTCTCAAAATTACAAAAAAAAAAAAAAAAAAAAGAATGAATGAAATAATAAAAGAGGCTGGGAATGTAGCTCAGCGTGGAGATACCGCATTACTGCAATAACGGAAGCGGAGCCCTACCCCGGCCCCTCCACTCCCGCAGCCGCCAAACCGGCGGACTACACGCCCCAGAATGCACCGCGCGCGGCCTCCCTCCCAGGATGCACCCCGACGCCCTACCCCCTCACGGCAGGGGAGGGCTGCGGGCCGGCGGAGCGCCGGGCTGGGCTTGGCTCACCTCGGAGCTGCGGGAGCCCTTCAGCACCTGCTTGGTAAGTGCGATCACGTCGGTCCCGCAGGTGTTCACCTTCTCCGTGAGAAGCCCCTTCACTGACTGGCCAAATCGGGCTTGCGAATCCGGCGTCGCCGACGCCATCGTCGCCACTGTCTGAGGCCTCCGCCCCGGCGACGGCGAGTCACCCGGGCCAAAAGAGACGCAAAGCGGAAGAAAGCGAAGCGGAGGAAGGGACGCAAGCATCTACCCGAGATTGCCAGCTACGTATGAGTTCATTTCAAAGTGCTGTTCAGTTGATGTCCCGGGAAACACAAGGCCCAAACAAGTCCCTGAAAGGAATGAAAGATAACGTCAGTAAATCGGGGGCTGGCAGGCGTGGAGGCGCACAGCTGTGGTCCCAGCACTCAGGAGGCTGAGGCAGGCGCAGTACTGCGAGTTCGAGGCCAGCCTCCTAGTGAGTTCAGGGTCAGCTTAAAGTATATATCGAGGGGCCAGGGAGATGGCTCAGTGGAATAAGCGCTTCCCTGGCAAGCACGAGGGTCTGAGTTCAATCCCCGGTTCCACAATAAATAAATAAATAAATAAAAATAAAGTATAGGGGGGCCGGGGAGATGGCTCAGTTGAATAATCGCTTGCCTAGCAAGTGCAAGAGCCTGAGTTCAATCCCCAGTTCAACAAAAAAACAATACAAACAAAAAAGACTCTTTTAGGGGCTGGGGAGATAGCTCAGTAGAATAACACTTGCCTGGCAAGCGCAGGGTCCTGAGTTCAATCCCCAGTACCACATAAAAAAATAAAATAAAAAAATAAGAAAAAGTATAGGGCCAGGGAGATGGCTCAGTGGATTAAGCGCTTCCCTGGCAAGCGCAAGGGCCTGAGTTCAATCCCTGGTTCTGCCAAAAATAATAATAATGATAATAATAATTTTTTAAAAATAAAGTATATATTGAGACCCTGTCTCAAAAAACCTAAGTAAAATAATTAGAACACCAGAGTGGCTGGGTCACAGTCCCAATTCTGCCGCTCCGCAGTTGTGTGACTGCAAGGAGCCCATCTGCTTCCTACTGGTGGCGGTGCAGAGGGCTTGCCTGTGGCGCTTCGGGCTCGGGTGCTTTGAGGGTGCTGCGGGTGGCGATCAGATGCTGAGGTTTTGAGATGGGCTGGGGAGAAGGATGTGGGGGTTTAATCCCAGAGCTCCCAGCGTGGGAGGCGAGTAAATAAAGGAACCAGGTGATCAGCCTTGTAGGAAAATCAGCAAAGGACACGGACAGTTCAAAGAAAAACTCATAAGGCCAGTAATGTAAAACAAAAAGCCTAATGCACTTACTGTGTTTTTTATTCGTCTGTTTGTAATACATAATGTTCGCAGTCCACGGGAGAAGTTGGCACACGTACCTCACGCTTCTTTTTTTTTTTTTTTCCTTTTTTTATTTCAGAACGGGGGATTGAACTCAGGCCCTTGCGCGGGCCAGGAAAGCGCTTATTCCACTGGACCATCTCCCCGGCTCCTTGTTAATTCTTTTTAGTCCCCTTCCCTCTCGTCCCAGCTCCTCCATCACTTGGTCCTCCTCCCTTCAGGGAGAGTTCACCCTTGCTGTTTCTTGTTATCGCTTTGCTCTTTATTTATACTTTGGGTTTTTCATACAAGAGCAGTGGTGTCATGTTCAAGCTTGTTCATCTGGCTTATGACACTTAACACTATTCTCTCACGGTGGCTCCTCTTTCCTACAAAAAACTCGAATATATCCTTTATGGCAGAGCAGAGCAGAGCTCCACTGTGAAGAAATCCCCCCGTTTCTTTATGCATGCACCTGTTGATGGATACGGGCCGCGTCCAAGATTTGCTATTATGAATGGCGCTGCCGAAGCGTGCATTTGCTCGCCGACGCTGCCGCATCAGTCTGCCTGCTGTCGAAATGGGCTGCACTGAGACGCGCTTCCTGGCGGAGGCCTGCCCACCCACCCGCACTCTGATACTCATGTATCCCCGTAGTTTTGGGAAGAGGGTTTGTTTCTTGGGGGTTGTTTTTGTTTCTGCTTTTTAGTTTTTTGTTTTTTCTTTGAAATATAATCCATATACTACCCAATTCACCTTTTTTTTTTTTTTTTTTGGCGGAACCAGGGATTGAACTCAGGCTCTTGTGCTTGCCAAGGCAAGCACTTATTCTAGTGAGCTATCTCCCCGGCTTTTTTTTTTTTTTTTTTTAAGTATAACATTCAGGGGCTGGGGAGATGGCTCAGTGGAATAAGTGCTTCCCTGGCAAGCGCAAGGGCCTGAGTTTGAGCCCCGGTTCCGCCAAAAAATAAATAAATAAAATGTTAAAAAAAATATATATTCAACTTATTATTTCTTTCTCAAGAGAGTTTTCTTCAGTCCATTAAGACCCAGCTCCCCTCACGTGGGCTTTGGTGGAGGTCGTGGGGCAGCACCAGCAGGTCTAAATCGAGGTGGAGGAGTTCGGTCCTTACCGACTTCACGAGATCGATTTCTGACCACTTTGCTGTGAATAGCATGGCCCACACAGTCATGCAGCTTGGGAAGCACATAACCGTCAAAGACACTCGCTTCGGAAATGTCCCTGACGGCGGTGGCCTCCACTATGTTCCGAATGACAAACTTCTAAGTGACCTTATCCTTGGGTATGCACCGGGCGCAGTTCGTGCAGCAAATAGACAGCGCGTGAGCGCGCCTGTCGCCCCAGCTCTTGGGAGGCTGTACACAGGCAGATCACTAGGAGTCCGACCTAGTAGTAAGACCCTGAACACCCTGTAGGCCCTTCCCTAAAATACAAGAAGGCTGTTGATTTTTGGCTTTGTATCCTACCACACTACAGAATTTGGTTATTAAATCTAGGTAATCTTTTGGTGGAGTTTTTAGCGTCTTCTATGTAGAGTGTCATGTCATCCACAAATAATAACTTCTTTCTTTCCTATCCTTATTCCTTTTCTTTCTTCCTCTTGTCTAATTGCTCTGGCTAAAGTTTCCAGAACTATATTGAATGACAGTGGTGACAGTGTGTTTGCAGCATTTGTTCCTCATGTAACCACCAAGGCAGAATATTTTATTGAAAAATTAGATGTTCTTCCTGTTCTAGATCGTACCCTCCATTAAAATTATCTGTAAACACCCTCTTGCGCTGATTAAATAAATGTGCTGCAGTTGTTGGGCAGTACTTTCTCCGGTCAGGAGACAGGCTTCACCTGACCTCAGTGTTCTTGTCTTCGTTCCTCCCTCCATCAAGAGATTTGAGAGCTGTGCTAGATGAGGCAGCAGTAGACATCTTTGTCTTGTTTCTGATTGTAGAGAGAAAGCTTTCAGTTTTGTCCATTTAGTATGATGTTGACTGTTGGTTTGTCATAAATAGCTTTTATCAGATTGAGATAAAGATCATCTTTTCCAGTTTTCTGTAGGGTATTTAGCATAAATGGGTGTTCATCTATGTCAAATGCTTTTTCTGCACCTATTGGGATGGTTATACGGTTTTTGTCTTTGTCTCTGTTAATGTGGTGCATTATACTGTTGAAGCACCCCGTATGGTCGTGGAGTATAATCTCGGTGATTTTCTTCATTCTCTTTGTCAGTATCTGAGTGAGGATTTTGTATCTATGTCATGAGGGAGATTGGCCTGTAGTTCTCTTCTTTTGGTCAGACCCTTCTCCGTATCAGGTTAATGCTTGCTTTTTGAGGAATGAGTTTATGAGCATTGCTTCTCTTTCAATTTCATTAAAAGGTTTGAGAAGTAATAGCATTAGGTCTTCTCTCAGTTCCTTATAGAATTCAGCAGTGAATCATCAGGACCTGGGCTTTCCTGGTTGGGAGGCTTATAATTACATCTTCAATTTCATTGACTGATATTGGTTCAGAATATTTATTTATTTATTTATTTATTTATTTATTTATTTTGTGGAGCCAGGGATTGAACTCAGGCCCTTGTGCTTGCCAGGGAAGTGCTTATTCCGCTGAGCCATCTCGCCAGCCCTTGATTTAGAATTTTTGATCTTCATTTCTTCTGTGTTTTCTGTCTAATTAGAATACAGATTCTTGATGTAGGCACTGATGCTCTTCTGGATTTTCTCAGGGTCTGTTCTGATTTCACCCTTTTTGTTCCTAATTGCATGGATGAAATAAGAAACAGATGTAGTCATGCATGGCGGGGCACTGCGAGTCAGTGTCTCAGGGTGGGCAGAGACAGACATTCTGAGCTAGCCCTGTGTATTAGGTTTCTACACTAATCGGAGGGCTCATGGGAAGACTCAGGACAGTGTTGAGCCTGTGCTAACGAGGATCTTTACGTTGATGAGGACCGTGGGGAGGGGTGGCTGGATAAGAAGGAGTTTGCCCTTTCCCAAGGTGAAACGTTTTATTACTGGTGGGTTCGCAAGGAACCAGGTGGTTTTGTGCAGCCTTGTCCTGGGGCACCACAGCATCACAGGCCCATCAAGGCCTCAGCTGTGACAGGAGGCAAGAGGAATTAGGTTCCCACGTGCGTAGCTGGCACACAGGACAAGACACTAGGCCTCCGACAAGCCCTAATCACAATTGAATTATGAAGTGATTTTTCCCCAACAATTATATAGAATGGTCCTTGACTATATTGTTTCTGTCTTAATATTTAGATCTTTGATTCATTTTGATTTTAGTTTAGTACATGGTGAGAGATACAGGATTCAATCTTTTCTGCATGTGTATAGCCAGTTTTCCTAGAACCACTGGTTAAAGAAGCTATCTTAAATCCACTCTAAGCTTTTGCCCCTTTGTCAAGGATCAGGTAGCTGAAGGTCCCTGGAGATGCTTCTGCACACTCCGCTGACTTCTTCCCTGTATGGGGGAGGGGGCGATCAGGTCTTACCATGCAGCCCAGGCTGGCTGACCTCACTATGAAGCCCAGGCTGAGCTTGAACTTGGGGTGATCCTCCTGCCTCAGCCTCCTGAGTACTCATGGATCACAGGTATGCACCACCATGCCTGGCGGGTTTATTTCCTGTCCTTGCATTATTTTCTTGTTAGTAATTTCTTTTAATTTTTTTTCTTTCTGCTTAACTGCTCACACTTATTGTGTTCATTCTATAAGATTTTTTGGCATTTGGCCTCATTCTCTTTCTAGAATATCCTTAAGAATTTTTTGCTAGGTGTGTGGGCAGTCATCTGCCAGGCATGGTGGTGTATACCTGTGATCCAGGAGGACTCAGGAGGCTGAGGCAGGAGGATCACCCCAAGTTCAAGCCTAGCCTGGGCTTTACAGTGAGGTCAGGGCCAGCCTGGGCTGCATGGTAAGACCTGATCACCCCCTCCCCCATACAGGGAATAAGTCAACGAAGCATGCAGAAGCATCTCCAGGGACCTTCAGCTACCTGATCCTTGACTCATGGCACGCCTG